TAATAAAATTAAATGACAGAGAAAGAAAGGAGATTGAAAACAACATTTGTTGAAAGGGGAGAAGATAAAGAAATTAGTTAAGGAAAGACTCTAGAATGAACACTACCCTAAACCTGAAACCCATAAGGCTTAAAAAAAAAGGAGGGGGCAGGGGAGCTAAGCTCACACACATTCAGAAACCAAAAAATAATAAAACATATTCCAAACACTTGTACTTCATACCTGTGACCTATTCTTGAGTATGCAGCACCACAATGGAACCCTTAAGAAAGCATAAAATTAGTACATTCAAATTAATGTCTGAGCTGAGGAAAATAAGCTATGAAAAATGCAACCAACAAGTCTCCTGAATCTGGAAGAATGAAGACCAAAAGAGGGTAGGATCATAACACAAAATACTGTGGGGCATGTACAGGGTCAACAAGGGTAGGCTCTTTATCAGAGATAAACCAAGATTAAGCAGACACTTTTGAAAATCACACATTAAAATATCTAGAGATATCTGAAAACATACTAGGTAGTAGGTTGGTAGACAGCAACCGCCCAGGGAGGTACTACTGTCCTGCCAGGCGAGTGTAAAACTGAAGCCTGTAATTGTTTTACACGATGGTAGGATTGCTGGTGTTTTTTTTTTTCTGTCTCATACACATGCAAGATTTCAGGTACGTCTTGCTACTTCTACTTACACTTAGGTCACACTACACATACATGTACAAGCATATATATACACACCCCTTTGGGTTTTCTTCTATTTTCTTTCTAGTTCTTGTTCTTGTTTATTTCCTCTTACCTCCATGGGGAAGTGGAACAGAATTCTTCCTCCGTAAGCCATGCGTGTTGTAAGAGGCGACTAAAATGCCGGGAGCAAGGGGCTAGTAACCTCTTCTCCTGTATATATTACTAAATGTAAAAGGAGAAACTTTCGTTTTTCCTTTTGGGCCACCCCGCCTCGGTGGGATACGGCCGGTGTGTTGAAAGAAAGAAAGATCTGAAAACATACTAGGTAGTAGGTTGGTAGACAGCAACCGCCCAGGGAGATACTACTGTCCTGCCAGGTGAGTGTAAAACTGAAGCTTGTAATTGTTTTACACGATGGTAGGATTGCTGGTGTCTTTTTTTTTCTGTCTCATACATATGCAAGATTTCAGGTACGTCTTGCTACTTCTACTTACACTTAGGTCACACTACACATACATGTACAAGCATATATATACACACCCCTTTGGGTTTTCTTCTATTTTCTTTCTAGTTCTTGTTCTTGTTTATTTCCTCTTACCTCCATGGGGAAGTGGAACAGAATTCTTCCTCCGTAAGCCATGCGTGTTGTAAGAGGCGACTAAAATGCCGGGAGCAAGGGGCTAGTAACCCCTTCTCCTGTATATATTACTAAATGTAAAAGAGAAACTTTCCTTTTTCTTTTTGGACCACCCTGCCTTGGTGGGATATGGCCGGTGTGTTGAAAGAAAGAAAGAAAAGGAGAAACTTTCGTTTTTCCTTTTGGGCCACCCCGCCTCGGTGGGATACAGCCAGTGTGTTGAAAGAAAGAAAGATCTGAAAACATCTATTCAATATACAGGAGCAAAAGATATGGAGTAAACTTAAGAATAACACAGCGGAAGTAGGTTTCATTTAAAAGTCTAAGTATGACAAAGATATTTGATGTCAGTGAGCAGAAAGTTAAGAGACGAGACCGAGAGGCAGAGTTCACTACTAATGGTGGAGACAAGAACAGAAAATGATGTAGACAGCCTGTACTGTCTGCACAGACAGCCCCTGCTGTCTGCCAGCTTAGTTCATATTTTGCGCCACTCAGGTACTGCCCTCTGTAGGCCTTGCCACTTCAGTATGCCCAGACTTGCCTCTCACTCACACAGCGGCCTAGCAGCAAGACACAAGGCCTCCCAGCTCTCTCTCGTGGGATGGCCCTCCCGGGCCATGGGCACAACACAAGCCTGTGTACCCACCACGACATTATTAATAAACAAATAAACCTCCGAAGAAGTTTATCATTAACCACCCACTACCAGAATACCAAAATAACCTTTTTTCGTTATAATTGGTGGAAAGCGGTGGGATCAGCAGTTGTTTGCCCGTGAGAGAGGAAGGAAGAGGTATGAAGTCATCTTCACTTCATCACCCTACACAAGAAGCATCCGTCTCTCAACAAGTTATCCTGATGTCGTGTCTGCACGTTTGAGCATCCAGACACAGGGACAAGCAGGATCCAGGCCGAAATTTGCCGAAATTCTCCGAGAATTGTAAGTGGCGTCACAGTGACCCCACGCTACAGTGACTCCACGCTACAGTGTCCCACGTTTGTTTCTCAAGTCACGTGTTTCAGCGTCACTTGTATGTTGCTGTTGTTGTTCAGCCAGCACAGCTGTTTAAAGCAAGCCAGAGGTGAGTTTTTTTGGTGATTTCTGCATCCAGTGTGAGCTTCTCCACGTGTTTGTGGGTGGAGGAGGAGGAGGAATGGCCAGATGCTCCCCTGCCATACACTCACCCACGCTCCTCGCTCACCCCGTCTTACCATACACCACTCGCCACTGTCCTCTCCCTCGCTGTGTTTTCTGCTGTTTTTCATGTGATTCATTGCCAGAGCTGTGTACCGAGTGCCCGAGGCCACTCGAATTTTACGTGGATCAGAAATGCCACGTAGATCACGACACACGTGGATCACAACGCCACGTTGGGTGTGGACGATGTCACGTGGATCTACATGCCACGTGAGTTACCAGATGTCCCAGGCCACATCTGTGGTCTGCTGGGTCGCAAACACATTAACGTCACCGACGATGCTGCCCGACTTCATGACGTCACGATGTCTGCCTACGTCACCTCGAGATGTCTGCCTGACGTCACCTCGAGATGTCTGCTGACGTCAACCTCACGATGTTGCCCGACGTCACCTCGAGATGTCTGCTTGATGTCCCCACCTTCGAGATGTCTGCTGACGTCACCTCGAGATGTCTGCTGATGTCACCTCGAGGTGTCTGCTGACGTCACCTCACGATGTCTGCTGACGTCACCTCACGATGTCTGCCTTTACGTCACCCGAGATGTCTGCTGACTCACCCTCGAGATGTCTGCTGACGTCACAGTTGCTGCTGTCGTCACCTCGCGACATCACGCCTGACATCACATGATGTCACATCGAGTGTTTCTAGTAATTTTTTAATATTGTCGAGAAGATTGAGAGAAAATATATGTCGTGTGCTAATTTAAATTTCCCCTCAGTCATGTTCCACATGTTGTACCGCGGTGTGTTTTAAAGTTTCCGTGTGTCCATGAGGGCTGAGCCAGACCTGAGTAGCACCACTGTGCTAAGTCACCCATGTGACCATGTGTTTGGAAAAGCTGATTACTCACCCTGAGCGATGAGCCCTTTGTACAGAAAGCCTTTATGCTCGTCGCTCGTGTTGTTCTGCAGAATCGTACCTGCTAACGATTCCCATCGAGATTTGTTTCACTTCACCTCCAACCGTCAGATTGCAGTTATATGTAGAGAAACAAGTCTGGGGATGCTTAGACTAACCTCTGCTATAAACTCCAAAATGTCGAGAGATGATACCGTCAAGCCGCAGGCAGGCCTGTCACAGACACTGTGTCAGCCTCGTGTCACAAGCTTCTTGAGCAGCCTGCACAAAGATGTCACTTTTACTGCTACTCCTCACTGCAGTCTGGTGTAAAGATGTACGACTCCCAGATGTTTTGCCCAGTCGTCTGCCACGACTCGCTCCACAACTCCTCCAAAGCTCGCCGGGCAGTGACAGCCCAGCGACAGTACCAGTCGAGAAGTGTCCCCCCTGAGTCGCTTGCCAGAAGTCCTGCCCAGTTGCTTGATTTTGTCGACGCCTCACTCGAGGGCACCAGCATGTCGTGCCCCAGGTTGAGTGAAAACCTGCAGCGACTCCTACGATGACTGCTTCAAACCCTTCCAGAGAGACCGTAACCTGTTACGTCACAGCTCGCCGCAGCGATGTCTCCTGGTTTGCAGTATCTGTCCAGATGCAGGGAAGGCGTGCAGTGATGCCCTTCGACGCTCACTGCCTATGACCACGATGTTTAGCACACCCGACAGGTTTTTTTCTTCCCTCCCTGTAGGAAGTTTTTTTTTCCATGTCCATATGTATAATATGCTTTTATTTTGTGTTCTGTGCCCTGTTCCTATGAGAGAGAGACTGAGTTTCTTTTACCACCAGTATTGTCGCGTCGGGACGACGTGCGGTAGGTGGCCGAGCGTGTGTAGACAGCCTGTACTGTCTGCGCAGACAGCCCCTGCTGTCTGCCAGCTTAGTTCATATTTCGCGCCACTCAGGTGCTGCCCTCTGTAGGCCTTGCCACTTCAGTATGCCCAGACTTGCCTCTCTCTCACTCACACAGCGGCCTAGCAGCAAGACACAAGGCCTCCCAGCTCTCTCTCGTGGGATGGCCCTCCCGGGCCATGGGCACAACACAAGCCTGTGTACCCACCACGACATTATTAATAAACAAAGAAGCCTCCGAAGAAGTTTATCATTAACCACCCGCTACCAGAATACCAAAATAACCTTTTTTCGTTATAATGAGAGAGATCTTAAATAGAAATGAAAACTAACAAATGCCAAGGAGGTAATTGTATAAAATGCAATCAGAGGAGCTACATTACCTCACCAAAATTAAAATCAGGTTCACATATAAAATACAAATATTTCAAGGTTCTCTAGTTTAAAAAGAAGTAAAGCAGAAACTATAAGGTATATATAATAATGATGAGCATTTCTCTCACAAACAAAAGGTCCCAGTTCAATTCCTGAGCAGAGTAGGAGGTACAGGTAAGTTGCCTTACACCCACTATCACTGTTAACTTAGCAAAATATAGGTATAGGTCAACAGTTGTGGGTAATATTCTGAAAAGTAATAATCAATAGCAAGAACTAGGCTTTGATGTCAGTAGAAGCAAGATAACAGCACTTACCTTGTAAAAAATAAACTTTGAGTAGAAAAATAACAAATGTTACCTCATCTTCCTCAGTTTGCTCCACCCCAGGTCCCACACCTGCAGCAGTCAACTGGGATGCTATAAGTCGAGCTACATGCTGTATCTGTGTTGGTGTTCCAGCTGCTGTTATGGGGCTGTACCCAACACTAAACAAAGCTGGCATCTCATCAGGAAGATTTAGCTGAAACACAAAATTTTAAAAAATTTTTTTTAACTCAACAGCTGTCTCTTGCTGAGGCAAGGTGATGTAAAGCAGAAACTGTATCCATCAACTTTCATTCAATCATCATCTTTCCAGAAGTATGCTGACATTACAATCAGATTACTCTCTGACTGCAATACCTCTACCCTCCTTCAAACTGCAGGCATTGTCTTTCTCATCTCCAGGACCCAAGTCCTGGCTAGTAACCAGTTTCCCCAAAGACCTTCATAAAAGTTTCCATGCTTACATTCCAACAGCATGTCCATTAAAAACTACTTGCTATTTAACACACTCACACAAGCCTGTTGGATGCTCAAGCCCTACAACTCAAAAAGCCTCTTTTACCCCCTCCCTCCAACTATTCCTAGGATGATCCCTACCCTTCCTACACCCTCTTTGTCCTCTCTACATGCCATAACACCTCAACAACCCTTTCTCAGCCCTCTGAATTATATCCTTGATTCCACATTGGTTTTTAATGACTATGCTTCAAACTCTGCACAAAAGCCATACCACACATTGCTCTCAAACATGACATCTCTAATGCCTCCAGCCTCTTTCACACCACAGTGTTTAAACCCATGGCTCATACCTGCATAAAAGTGTTGGTACCAGTGTACGCCGGTACATATTTAAATGCATCCACTTCCTCAGTATGGAGGAAGTGGATGTCATTCAATATAGCAGTGTCATTCAATATAGCAGTGCCTAGACTGTTTTGTTGCCCTCATCACCTTGCTGTTTCCTATGTTCACATTTAATTTCCTTCTTTGACATACCCACTACTTTCTATTTAATAAAAAAATGTGAGTGGGAGGGACTGGGTTTGATTGGTGTCATTGGGTACAGGAGGATATTCTTGGAAAGCTTTGCATAGGGATTGTTTTGATAAGGACCTGCCTTGTATGGGCCAATAGGCCTTCTGCAGCCTTCCTCCATTCTTATGTTCTGAAGTTTAAGATACCCATCCTCAATATGCTATAGAAACATTTTTATGAAAATTTAATATTCCTACAATATTTTCAAGGTTAAACACAAAGCAAATAGATATAGTTATTATATAAAAAAATCCAAGGGATTCAAGACAAAATCATTCTCACCATTGTGACCATAACCAAGTTGGCTACAGTCTTTGCAGTAAGTTTTTCCACTAACCACCGCTGGGTAATGTCTACAGCAGAATTCTTCCCAACAACTTCCTCAGTCTTGCTTTTCTTCTCTTCTTTTTCTATTCGAGCCTTCTTACTTGAGGATTCAGTCACTTCCTCACCTCTTTTATCCCTTCTCACTCTCTTACGAATCATTTCTTTAGTTGGCATTGATTTGTTGACCTGCAAAATTATGAAAGAAAGCCAAGAAAATTATTTTTGGTAAATATTAATTTTATTCAGTCCCCTAAAATCTCAAGTATACAGCTTTTATGTACTTGTCAGCATTAAATTAAATTTATGTTAAGTATTTCTGCCCTCTCCAAACATCTATTAAATCCTCGAAAACTCTACCAACTGCAATCCTACTACTATGCCCTTTTCTTTATCATATGTGAGCACTTGCTACATTATTCCCAGTGATTTTTACATTGTAACTAAACAGCAAAAATGCATCAAGACCAAAATAAAACAAGCACTGTACAAGATACAGTATACCATTGATACCCAGTGCCTTCAGAAATGCCAGGGTTAGGAGGGAAACTCCTGGATTTTCATCACCTTATGTTCACATTAGTTTACAGTCCTATTTTCTGCGCACTCCTTATTTTAGCATTATCTGTTTAGGGGCCCTGATCACTGTTGGACACCAGTTAACTGGTCACTGGACAATCAATGAGCTACTGTATATAAAATTCAGTACCACTTGAAATTATACATCAATAAATTCCATTAACAAACATGCCTCAGCTGCTGTAATTCCCAGATCATTGAGGACTGTAGTAATGTTTTCATGGTAGTCATAGGATGCTGGGTGCTTCAATAAGTTTAACATCTGTATCTTCAGGTGCTTCCTAACACTGTTCACTTGGGACTTTGTTAGTGTTGGTGGCAGATTGGCTGAAAACAAAATAAATATATTTTACTGATATTTTAATAGGGATTAATACTATACAAATTTGGAATAATGCAATATAAAGTCCATGTCAGATGTTCCCCACACAGGTAGGGTGACCTAAAGAATAACTCAGCACATTCACCATCAGTAATTCTTAGCTGTCTTGCCAGAAGTGCTCTACATCACAATTCATTTTTTTTTAACACATCAGCCATTCCCCACCGAGGAAGGATGACCCAAAAAGGGAGAAAAAAAACTTTCATCATCGTTCAATACTTTCACCATCATTCGTACATAACCATTGTATTTGCAGAGGTGCCCAGATACAACAATTTAGATATCACTTCAAACAGCCAATATCCCAAACCCCTCCTTTAAAGTGCAAGCATTGTACTTCCTATCTCCAAGACTCAAGTCCAACTAACCGGTTTCCCTGAATCCCTTCACAACATATTACCCTGCTCACACACCAACAACCCATCAAATATTCAATATTATATGATGATATTACTACATTCTAGGTAGTGGGTTGGTAGACAGCAACTGCCCAGGGAGGTACTACCGTCCTGCCAAGTGAGTGTAAAACAAAAGCCTGTAATTGTTTTACATGATGGTAGGATTGCTGGTGTCTTTTTTTCTGTCTCATGAACATGCATGATTTCAGGTACGTCTTGTTACTTCTACTTACATTTAGGTCACACTACACATACATGTACAAGCATATATATACACACCCCTCTGGGTTTTCTTCTATTTTCTTTCTAATTCTTGTTCTTGTTTATTTCCTCTTATCTCCATGGGGAAGTGGACCAGAATTCTTCCTCTGTAAACCATGCGTGTCATAAGAGGCGACTAAAATGCCGGGAGCAAGGGGCTAGTAACCCCTTCTCCTGTATATGTTACTAAATTTAAAAGGAAAAACTTTAGTTTTTTCTTTTGGACCACCCCACCTCAGTGGGATACGGCTGGTATGTTGAAAAAAGAAGATTACTACATTAAGTAAAAGGGAATACAGTGGACCCCTGCTTAATGATCACCTCCCAATGCGACCAATTATGTAAGTGTATTTATGTAAGTGCGTTTGTACGTGTATGTTTTGGGGTCTGAAATGGACTAATCTACTTCACAATATTCCTTATGGGAACAAATTCGGTCAGTACTGGCACCTGAACATACTTCTGGAATGAAAGAATATCGTTAACCGGGGGTCCACTGTATTTAAATAATCAACTGTTGTACTGCAATTAAAATAAGTCCCAAAATGAGATTAAATGATGATAAAAATATATCGTCAGGTCCCAAGTACCATTCGTCTCCATTCACTCTTATCTAACACGCTCACGCATGCTTGCTGGAAGTCCAAGCCCCTTGCCCACAAAACCTCCTTTACCCCCTCTCTCCAACCCTTTCGAGGGGTTTGAGATATTGGCAGTTTGGAGGGATATGTTGTGTATCTTCATATGTGTATGCTTCTAAACTGTTGTATTTCTGAGCACCTCTGCAAAAACAGTGATAATGTGCGAGTGTGGTGAAAGTGTTGAATGATGATGAAAGTATTTTCTTTTTGGGGATTTTCTTTCTTTTTTGGGTCACCCTGCCTCGGTGGGAGATGGCCGACTTGTTGAAAAAAAAAAAATATATATATATATGTTAGCACAAATATTTTTTCTATCTTACAAATGAAGTAAGCTTTCAAGAGGCTTCTAAATAAATAATATTCTTCTTCTTTCAATGCACCAGCCATATCCCACCAAAGCAGGGTGGCCCAAAAAAGAAAAACGAAAGTTTCTCTAAGAACTTAGTAATGTATGCACGAGAAGGAGGTTACTAGCCCCTTGCTCCTGGCATTTTAGTCACCTCTTACAACAACTATGGCTTACGGAGGAAGAATTCTGTTCCACTTGCCCGTGGAGATAAAAAGAAATGAACAAGAACAAGAACATGTAAGAAAAAAGAAAACTCTGAGGGGTGTGTATATGTACATGTATATGCTTGTACACGCATGTGTAGTTTGACCTAAGTAGAAAGATGTACCCGAAATCTTGCGTGTTTCTTCTTTCTTTCAAAGCAATGGCCGTATCCCACCAAGGCAGGGTCGCTCAAAAGGAAAAACGAAAGCTTCTTTTACATTTAGTAATATTTACGGGAGAAGGGGTTACTAAATGTAAAAGAAGCTTTCGTTTTTCCTTTTGAGCGACCCTGCCTTGGTGGGATACGGCCATTGCTTTGAAAGAAAGAAGAAACATGCAAGATTTCTGGTACCCCTTGCTCCTGGCATTTTAGTCGCCTCTTACAACACACATGGCTTACGGAGGAAGAATTCTATTCCACTTCCCCATGGAGATGTAGAAATAAACAAGAACAAGAACTCGCAAGAAAATAGAAGTAAGCCCAGAGAGGTGTGGATATATATGCTTGTACATGTATGTGTAGGGTGACCTAAATGTAAGTAGAAGTAGCAAGATGTACCTGAAATCTTGCATGTTTATGAGACAGAAGACACCAGCAATCCTACCATCATGTAAAATAATTACAGGCTTCCGTTATATAAAAAATGAATACAGAATATATGTAATGGGACCACAATGACTGTAAAAGAGATGAAAAGTTAAATAAAAAACTACAGGCAGGCCCTATTTATACAGGTTAGTTCCGGGCTACTGCTGTAAAGCAAAAATCACTAAAGTGAAAGTGGGACTTTCCCATCAGAGCTTATTTCTTGGGAAGCATTGAAAATTGGGTTGGGCAAATGTTTTGTTAGTGGCATGAATTGTAAAGGACCTGCCTAGTATGGGCCAACAGGCCTCCTGCAGTGTTCCTCCTTTCTTATGTTCTTATGAAACAACCTTTTTTTCACTTTCAAATCCACATGAAAGCCTGATAACATGTTTACATTATTATATATTAAGTGAGCAATTGAACCAGGCTTAAAAAATGCACATACAGTACATATATTACTTACCTTAAAATATTTTCATCCTTAGATTATATTGAGTAGTGAATATATTTATTGTAGGAAGTTTGAATAACCTAGGTAGTAGGTTGGTAGACAGCAACAGCCCAGGGAGGTACTACCGTCCTGCCAAGTAAGTGTGAAACGGAAGCCTGTAATTGTTTTACATGATGGTAGGATTGCTGGTGTCTTTTTTCTGTCTCATAAACATGCAAGATTTCAGATATGTCTTGCTACTTCTACTTACACTTAGGTCACACTACACATGCATGTAGATGCATATACGTATATACACACCCCTCTGCATTTCCTTCTATTTTCTTACTAGTTCTTGTTCCTGTTTATTTCCGATCTCCACAGTGCAGTGGAACAGAATTCTTCCTTCGTAAGCCATGCGTGTTGTAAGAGGCAACTAATGTGCCAGGAGCAAGGGGCTAGTAACCCCTACTCCTGTATATGTTACTAAATTTAAAAGGAGAAACTTTTGTTTTTCCTTTTGGGCCACCCTGCCATGGTGGGATACGGCTGGTTTGTTGAAAGTAGTAGTCTGAATAAATGAAGAATGGGTATAACTGAAAACCGCTGTATTAGTGAAATACCATAAAGCGAAGAACTATAAAGCGGGTCCTCCTGTAAAAAAAAATTGTTTTTTATCAGGCCTTGTGAAATGAGTAAGTGATGACAATCAATGATGTCATCTTCACTCAAGCTCTTGGAAATTGTAACATCAAAACCCTTAGAATATCTTAACATTTCTGCAACATGTCCTTTCTGGAGACATTCAAAAGTGCAGTGGAACCTCGGTTTTCGTATGTCCTAGTTGGAGAAAATTCTTGGAGAAAATTCTCTATAAAATATATTTTTTGTTAATATTTTTGGGTGTCTGGAACATATTAACCCTTAAACTGTCCAAACGTAAATCTATGTTCGGAGCAATATGCACATGAACACAGATCTACATTTGGACAGTTTAAGGGTTAATTGATTCTGTTCCAGACACCCAAAAATCTTTCTTTCAACACACCGGCCGTATCCCACCGAGGCGGGGTGGCCCAAAAGGAAAAACGAAAGTTTCTCCTTTTACATTTAGTAATATATACAGGAGAAGAGGTTACTAGCCCCTAGCTCCTGGCATTTTAGTCGCCTCTTACAACACACATGGCTTACGGAGGAAGAATTCTGTTCCACTTCCCCATGGAGATAAAGAGGAAATAAACAAGAATAAGAACTAGAAAGAAAATAGAAGAAAACCCAGAGGGGTGTGTATATATGTGCTTGTACATATATGTGTAGTGTGACCGAAGTGTAAGTAGAAGTAGCAAGACGTACCTGAAATCTTGCCTGTTCATGAGACAGAAAAAAGGACACCAGCAATCCTACCATCATGTAAAACAATTACAGGCTTTCATTTTACACTCACTTGGCAGGACGGTAGTACCTCTCTGGGCGGTTGCTGTCTACCAACCTACTACCTATGACACCCAAAAATATTAACAAAAAATACATTTTATAGAGAATTTTCTCCACTGTATTCAAACTAATCATCACATTATTGTCATGTGGCACATACTGTACCTTCAATGTTATCACTATGCTATTGTCATTAGGCCTATGTGTATTCTACTTTCAACTCATCATCATGCTATTGTCATATGATATATATTCTATATGTTAATGATTCCTGGCTTCATCAGCCTCACAGCCCAATCTCAAACCAGGTCTCCTAAGTTGGAAATGATATCTACAGGAATATGAAATACTGTATTATGAAACACAAAATACATAAGAAACTCACCATGTAGAATCTCTAGGGCATTGATAATCTTGCCCAGGAATTGTGGCCGTGCTCGAGCAATAATGGTGAGTGAAGACATGCAAGTCATTAGGTTCACCGAGCTGATGTGGATAGACCCTTGAAAAGCTAGCAGTTTATTCAGAACCATTCTGTATAAAAGAAAAGAAAGCACATTTGTCAGTATACCACCATCATACAAAAAAAAGTTACATGGACAAATACATCAAAGATATATGATGCTCATATCCACAAAAGCTAACTCAAAATTCTCATGTGTGTACTGCACTAAAAAATTGGAAATAAGAAGGCCTATAAATGAAGTTACCTATAGACAGATAGAAGAGAGTATAAAAGGACAGATGCTGATTATACAGGGCTTCAGCATCAAACATGCAAGTCACAATAATAATAATAATAATAATCCTAGATAGTAGGTTGGTAGACAGCAACCACCCAGGGAGGTACTACCATCCTGCAAAGTGAGTGTAAAACAAAAGCCTGTAATTGTTTTACATGATGATAGGATTGCTGGTGTCTTCTGTCTGTCTCATAAACATGCAAGATTTCAGGAATGTCTTGCTACTTCTACTTACACGTAGGTCACACTACACATACATATACAACCATATATATGCACACCCCTCTGGGTTTTCTTCTATTTTCTTTCTAGTTCTTGTTCTTGTTTATTTCCTCTTATCTCCATGGGAAAGTGGAATAGAATTCTTCCTCCATAAGCCATGCGTGTTGTAAGAGGCGACTAAAATGCCGGGAGCAAGGGGATAGTAACCCCTTCTCCCGTATAAATTACTAAATTTAAAAAGAGAAACTTTTGTTTTTGTTTTTGGGCCACCCCGCCTCGGTGGGATACGGCCAGTGTGTTGAAAGAAAGAATAATAATAATAATAAATAAAAATTATAATCTCCATGGGGATGTGGAACAGAATTCTTCCTCCATAAGCCATGTGTGTTGTAAGAGGCAACTAAAATGCCGGGAGCAAGGGGCTAGTAACCCCTTCTCCTGTATAAATTACTAAATTTAGAAAGAGAAACTTTCGTTTTTCTTTTTGGGCCACCCTGCCTCGGTGGGATACAGCCGGTGCGTTGAAAGGAAGAAGAAAAATTATAATCTACAAGTAATAAAAGTTTTAATGGCAAACTGCAAAAATGCAAACATAGAGGTATCCAGTTTTCCTTCCCAGCATATTTAACAATAAGCAACTTTATGGGAATAGAAAATTGCGATCAGAAAGCTACATATTCCAAGACATACATGCACTAAAAAAAAATGCCCAGTGGATCTCAGAGGTAAAATGTTCAAATTACAGAGAAAGACTAACAAAAAAATATCTTCATTAGTCTGTAGGAGGAAAAAGAAAGGACAAAATAACGACATATACAGTACTCATAAAACAATACAAAAATACTTATTTGCAATACAAATAGGCACTTATAAATACTAAGGTTAAGAACAACAATGTGTTTTATTATTAGTTACTATTATTAGAAAATAAAGAGAAATGTACACACAATACAAGTAGATGACTTATTCCTTCCGTATATAAACACTTTTTAAGTTTAAAGGTTCTCTAATCCTCACAGACCCGGCTTGGAGCACCACTCTTATACAAAACTTTTTACATACCTTGCTTCCTCCTCCAGTTTCCTGGGTCTTGCAACTTTGAGAGTGAGAGGCACCTGATCCAAATTGAACTCTCCATCACGTGTTACCGAGTCAGATTCTGTATATGTCTGCAGAAGTACCAGTGCCTCTAGAAACTTGATAGCCTGTGTTCTCACTCTGTAATCAAAATTTATGTGACTAGATGTATTTTCACGAGCAATTTTATCATCACCATAACACAACAGTATGTGTGTGATAACTGCAACATCTCTATGACCTGATGAAGCCCTACACCAGATAAAAAGTTGTGCCAATAAAAGCTTGCTCTGCAACTTGTCTTTGTCTTCTTATTATGTCAGTTAACCATTTTAATGGGGTAAGAAGGCTCATTCCCAGAAAGGATGGAGAGTTACTACAGACAAGACAGGATCAGATAGTGTTGAGAATAACACACTTGTACATTGTTAAAAATTTAAACCTATAAGAGACTGTATAGAAGAAGCCATTGATTGGCATGGGAGGAGCATTCTTGGAAAACTATGGAATGTGAATCAGTGCCTCTTGCAAGACTGGGAGACATGGTGGGTCGTGCATAGTGCTTCCATTGAGGGGGTAAGAGCTGCAATGAGTATTGACTGCTTTACACACATTGTATATTTTATCAATATCCTTTTCCCACTTTATACATGGTACAGGTTGGCCATCACTAATCCAGCATCAGTGGGACCTGTAGTGTGCCAGATTAGTGAGGTTGCTGGATTACAGAGTGGTTTGGTTAGAGAACTTAATAAACCTATCAAGAGAGACTCTGCCACATCTTCCTCATTTTCATCACTGCTTTTACCTCCACTGGCTTGCTGCTGTGGATTTACAACTATCTGCACAATTTCTGAGTCAGTATAATGATGAAATTTAAAAGTATGCTAGCCAAAATCAGTGCCGGATTACTTATGGAACCGGATAACTGATTGCCGGATTAGTGATGGCCGACCTGTACTATATATATACACATAATATGCAATATTTCAAATGAAGAGATGGTATAAAATCCAGAAACTTACCCATCATTATCATGATCAATCATGGTGATAATTGTAGTTTTAATTATTGTGATAATAAGCCAAACTTGCTCCATTTCTGGAGTTGTAGAACGAGCTGATGAAAGCCAGGCAAGAGTGGCCCGGTGAAGCTGGGCAACAGCCTGGATGACACGTTTCACAACAGCAACTGCCTGATCGCTGAGCAGCAACTGGATATTGGGAACCAACCGTGGCAACATAGCCACATCCTTTTTGCTGTAATATTTCAAGGCCAGAATTATTTTTTAGATACAGTGCTATAAGTATGCAGCAGCTGTAATGAGATACAAGACGAGTCAGGTACTGTATACATGTTGCAACCACAGGAAACTTTGTGATAAACTAAATATGGAAAAAGAGGGACATATACATACTACTCTGCATTAAAACATATTGTAATTTGTATCCAGTAACTTGTGTCAAAAACTCTTCATTATCTATTTTCATATCCTTTTACAACCTGTTGTGTGGTTATCTTATCACCATTTTGTCCTCCTGTATACTACCAATGTGTCTTTGGTCTCTTTTTCTTTCTTTGTAATTAATATTTTATAATGTCACAGCTTTTTCCATGTTATGTTCTTTATGGTCAAGATGTCCTAGTAAAACTGAATATTTTAATTTTGATCTTATATAGAGGTAACCAAAAATTATAATGTATAGTGAAACCTCAATTTAATGAACTAATATGGGAAGGGGGTGTCTGTTAATGCAAGATGTCTTGTTAAATCAGAATCAGTATTATTATAAAGTTGTTTTACCATGGACTCAACAATAGTGGAAAACTCCAGATTACATGGACTTTGTCAGCTAAAATCAAAATAAATTCACCCAGCAAACCATGACAGTAACACTCAGTTCTGGATTTAACAGACTACCTGTTAAATCCAAAATCAATTTACCCAGCAAACAGATAGTTCCAGATTTAATGGGTTTCTGTTCTTTGTGGTCACTCATTGTCTAGGCAAAGTTTTGTGCATTAAATCCAAAATCTGTTAAATCAGAGTAAGTTCTGTTAAGGTTTTCTGTAATGTACATGATTAAGACTTACAGGAGTTCAAGCTTCAGCTCTGGGGCCAAAATGTTTCATCATTACTACTTATTATGTTGCTTTTAGCTAAGCAATCACCATCCTGCCCACTTACCATGCTTCTTCGATAAAGCCAACGACAAATTTGCGAACATCAGAGTTTCTATCATTTTGAAATGCAGCAACTTCCTCAAAGAAAGAGTCTAGCAGCTGCGGGTTATGATGAATGATGAGTTCTTGGACCTGAGCAAGGTTTGCAATTTTTTCCTTCTCTGATGGCATAAATGCAGCAGCATTCAGAAGTTCCACCACCTGATTAAAAAAGTTACTGTATTTAAAATAAAATAAATAGAGATACTGAATCTATATACGTACTCTACAGTAATATAAAGATAACCCATTTAAGAGAAATCCTTTTTTAAATGGACCTCAATTTAATAGACTTTGGAAAGATAAGACAAAATCTCCTGAAACCACTGAATCAGAAACAATGGACAAAGTCCATTGGCTACAGAATTGGATGTTGTTTTTATGAAAATGACAAAACAATCTCATCTTTAATCTTAGTTTAACAATTTGTTAAATTAAAATTTGTTAAACTAAAAGCTTACTGTTCAGAAATACAGTAATCTGATTATTTCTGATCTTTAACTGGAAGCCTTATTTATCATTCATCATTTAGTTCAACTTGTTCTCCAACTAGGGCATGTATCATCTGACATATTGCTCTTTGTACTTTCCTGCTGGGAACCCACTCCGATTCCTTGGATCGAGGGTCCCTTATTATTCTATGTAAGACAATTGCAATCATCCTAAATAAACTTTCTTACATATATACTAACACTGCAGTAGTGTTACTTAACAAGGTTACTTAATGCTTGTGGTTCTTTGTGGCACTTTATGCACAATGTTATGATAATTAGTGACCAGTCAAAAGTGCTTTCAGTAGGGTTAATATGCTATACCCTAAATTTATAGCAGGAATTAATTTTACATAATTAACTAGTTTAATTTACTGAGAGATACAGAAACTTGACTTGTCTAAGTATTTCTTTATCCATTTGTATAATTCTGTTTGACACAGCGAGATAATGAATACACTACTTGTGACAATATGTTAGGTTCATTATAAGGCTAAACACTTGCTTTATATCACTCACCCTGTCCCTCGTAGACACCTCAAATTCACCCATGATGAAAATATGAAGGGAATTTTCTAACACATTAAGGAACTAGTGTCAGTAATGAGACTGACCGCTGGTCCAGGCGGCTCTTGTTGTTGGCAGGATTAAGGGCCGCTAAAGCTTACATCTTTGTAAATAAGTCTATTGAAGCACAGGCACATGTAAGTACATTATTATTACAGTCATAACTAAGTACTAAACTCATAAGGGTCATACAGCGCTGCACTTAAGTATAATTATCATGCATAGTGTAAGCTGCTGATGATAATCCAGAAAAGGGTAGACAAAGTAACTTATTTTCAATGAGGTCCTTGAAATACAAATGCATGTTTGTATTTCTTTATGTGGTACAATAATAATAATAATAATAATAATAATAATAATAATAATAATAATAATAATAATAATAATAATAATAATAATAATAATAATAATAATAATAATAATAATAATAATAATAATAATAATAATAATGATGATGATGATGATGATGATGATGATGATGATGATGAGATGATGATGATGATGATGATGATGATGATGATGATGATGATGATGATGATGATGATGATGATGATGATGATGATGATGATGATGATGATGATGATGATGATGATGATGATGATGATGATGATGATGATGATGATGATGATGATGATGATGATGATGATGATGATGATGATGATGATGATGACGATGACGACGATGACGACGACGACGACGACGACGACGACGACGACGACGACAAGTTAGGGAGTCCGGGAAAATAATGTTGGCTAAATTTGGGAAGGAATCATAAAAGAAACAAGGTTTCCTTTGGAAAGAGACACGAGAAAAGTAAGTTCCCGATCAGGTGGAATGCCATGATTAACCCCCCGCCAGAGCCACCATTAGTAAGTTTATTCAGGTATACACAAATACAGTTATGTAGATTATCATACATAGCAGCATATGTGTAGAGTACCTAGGATAACCCAAAATTGTCAGACAGTGACTTATTTCCATTGGGCTCCATTACTTCTGCCTGAAATGTGGGTGGGGACGATTGGATTTTAGTAGTAGTTGCCTAGTATAGGCCAGTAGGCCTGCTGCATTGTTCTTCCATTCTTATGCTCTTCATGTAAACTTATGTAATACTATGGAAAAAAAAACTTACATTATTTTACTTCACTTATTCCACTTGAATTAGCAACAACAACAACAACAGGCTTTTTGTTGACTCAAGAGTTGATGTATGGCGCCAAAGGGTTCATGTAGAGGAAATCATCCCGGGTTGAAAACTAGGAAAATTTATCATCGAGGAGCGCTAAACCCGTATGAATTATACAGCATGGAAAATTTATCAGGGACGTTCAAGGCAGGGGTAGAGCAAGGCGTCTACACTTCAATACCAACGCAGAAATTCTTAGGTCAGATGGACCTTTGGACCAGTTGTCTCAATCCCTTAGTCATCGCCCATGAGGCCAGGAACCGATAATGCCGGCGATTGGAGTTCAAGAGGGCGGGGATAGGAGCCGAGGCTCTATCCCCTCGGTAAAGACACTTATAAAACATTTCGTTATCTATTTTACGGAAACATTTCGCCAGTCAGTGGACTCATCAGTCCATTACAGAGAATATTGATGGACTGAACACATCGACTCCAGGATGAGGGATTGATTACCTCAATTATTATTATAATCAAGGGGGAAGCGCTAAACCCGGAGGATTATACAGCCTGATTACCTCAAACTATTGCTCATTTTCTGTAGTTCTTTTCTCTAGTGAACTGAAGAAGCCACTGGCTGGCGAAAAGCTTCCGTAATAAAGATTCCCAAATGTTACACAAGCGTCTCATTCTTCAACTTGTAGGTTTTCTAACCACTTACATTAATACTCGGTGAGTACACGAGCACTCAGCACCCCAGCGTCAGCACTGACTGCCTAGGGTGCAGTGGTCTCCAAGGTCACACACAACAGTTGGTGGTCATGCTAGAACTAGTCCAAGCGAGAGACGGAACTAATTTCGGCCTTGTTTCAAAATGGAGGAGATAAAGGTACAATGACGGTGGTGCTGAGAGACTCCTTCCTGAAACACAAGAGCAAAGTGCCACCTATGTACTTTCTACCGAAGACCCACAAAGAGAAAGACAAACGACCAGGATGTGCAGCACCAACCAGGCCAGTTGGCAAGTTTCTCACGGCCCTGCTCATGCCTCTACTGGCCCTCCTACCCAGTAGAATACGAGATGTGACTCACTTCCTACAAAAGCTCGAAGCACTGAAAACTGAACTTGGACCATTCCCCGAAGACTACAGACGAGTATCGCTAGATATTGAAGCGTTGTATCCTTCAATTCCGCAAAAAGAAGCAGCAGCAAGATTTTATCAGGATAACTTAGATAATATCCACCCTAAACTAAGAGAACTGGGAATCAGGAACCAAAGACACGCCTATTATACTTTGATGGAAAAATATACAAACAGATGACAGGAACAGCGATAGGAGTGTCGGTAAGCGTGGCTGTGGCCGATCTTGGTCTACTCTGCACTGGAAGTACGTACGCCTTTTTAAAGCGAACCTGGGGATCTTGCCATACTCCCGCTACATCGACGATATTTTCTACATTGCGCCTGGTGGTAGTGATGTTGCCCGAACACACCGCTGGTTCAGTAGTGCCCATAAGGCAATGATGCAGAACTATCCTTCCTAGACACAATGATCTATCTGGCGGAGGACAGGACCATATAAACCAGGACGTATTATAAACCATCCAACACGCATCAGTGTCTTCTATGGACCTCCCAGCATCGCCCATCATTGAGGACGTGTTTACCTTTCTCCCTAGGACTCAAAATCAAGAGATCTGCAGCAAAGAAAGTAAGTGTGTTAAAGCGATTGAAGAAATGCTAGTTTCTTCAAGACAAGAGGCTACCCGACGGAGACACTGAATGAGGCCAGAGAATAGATCAGACGGATCACCAGTGAAAACCTACTCTCTGAAACCAGCAAGAAGACAGCCACCAAGAATATCCTAGCAACGAACTATGATCCAAGAATTGCTTCAACCCTGCGCAACCAACTTAAGGACCTATAGGAGTGGCTGAAGGAGAGGTATAAAGACGCCTCGTAGTTTCCACCGCTTCTCGACCGAACCACCTACAATTGCACGGAGGAAATTCAAATCCCTGAAAGATTACCTAGTTAGGGCGAAGTTCCCTAAAGGCAAATACAGGGGCAGAAGGCCCACCAGAGCTGGCCCTGAACGGTCACCCATGGACGGCTCTAACCTGCGTGCCCGGAGCTTTCCTGGGTTGTAGCGACCCTTTCGATTAGCCACATTCTGTTAGACTGCCTCTCTATCAACGAGCACGCATAATTTACCTCCAACGCCGTCTTCGTTCTACTACTCTCTCTTTACCTTCCCTTCTTGCTGATGGACCCTCCTTTAATCCTGACTCTCTCATTGACTTCTTGACAACGACTGATTTACTCCACAAACTCTAATGATGATACCTTACGCACTCCCCTCAGCCCTTTCTAGCTCAGTCTCTTGCTGCCCTTTACCCTTTCACCATCCACTGCTCCGCTGTTATCCGTAACCTATTACTCATCCACCTCCCTTTTGCCACCTGATGCCCTCGCTTCCTTCCTGCCCTGCAGCGCTGTATAGCCCTTGTGGCTTAGCGCTTCTTTTTGATTATAATAATAATGTAGCGACCCTTCGGGGCTGTCTCCCCTTTTGAAAAAAAACCTAACCCTTTCACTCCAGCTGCAGGCAGGGCTGCCCTTGGCGTGATTACCCTGGGTGCTGCTTCATCTCACCCGCCTTCTAATATTATATTTCCTACGTTTCTTCTGTACATTTTGTATATGTATTGCAGCTGTTATGTATTCCGCATGTATTTCCAACGCATATTTTGACATCAATGTTTGCAAATTTCACTACTGCTGCACTTTTACCTAAATGTTTGGTTGAATAAGTCTCCCACCACTATGAATAAAGTGCTTGGGTGACAGACTGGATAAACCTTGCTCCACAATGTATTATAAATACTTGGGCAACAAGTTGGATAAGTCTCCCACTACGATGTGTTATGCCTTACAAATTGTAAAGTAAAAGGACACACATGCAACTAATGTGACAATTTATTGTGGCAACGTTTCGCTCTCCAGGAGCTTTGTCAAGCCGTAACGGCTTGACAAAGCTCCTGGAGAGCGAAAAGTTGCCACAATAATGGTGGCCTGGTGGCTAAAGCTCCCACTTCACACACGGAGGGCCCGGGTTTGATTCCCGGCGGGTGGAAACATTTCGACACGTTTCCTTACACCTGTTGTCCTGTTCACCTAGCAGCAAATAGGTACCTGGGTGATAGTCGACTGGTGTGGGTAGCATCCTGGGGGACAAGATTAAGGACCCCAATGGAAATAAGTTTGACAGTCCTCGATGACGCACTGACTTTCTTGGGTAATCCTGGGTGGCTAACCCTCCGGGGTTAAAAATCCGAACGAAATCTTATCTTATTGTCGGTAATTCTACCAAACATTATCACGCCTTACAAACTGGTTACCCGAGAGGGTTTCAGGGGTCAACGCCCCCGCGGCCCAGTCTGTGACCAGGCCTCATGGTGGATCAGGGCCTGATCAACCAGGCTGTTACTGTTGGCTGCACACAACCCGACATACGAACCACAGCCCGGCTGGTCAGGTACCGACTTTAGGTGCCATTCAGCGCCTTCTTGAAGACAGCCAGTGGTTTATTGGTAATCCCCCTTATGTATGCTGGAAGGCAGTTGAACAGTCTTGGGCCCCCTAACACTTATTGTGTTGTCTCTTATCACGCTAGTGGCACCCCTGCTTTTCATTGTGAGGATGTTGCATCCTCTGCAGAGCCTTACTTTCATAAGGAGTGATTTTTGTGTGAAAGTTTGGTACTAGCCCCTCTAGGATTTTCTAAGTGTATATAAACATGTATCTCTCCCACCTACATTCTAGGGAGTGCAGGTTGAGAAACTTCAAGCATTCCCATTAATTCAGGTGTTTTATCCCAGTTATGTGTGCCATGAAGGTTCTTTGTACATTTTCTAGGTCAGCAATTTCACCTGCCCTGAAAGGTGCTGTTAGTGTGCAGCAATATTCCAACTTAGATAGA